TGTGAGTGCAGTGCACAATGCACCGATGCAGCGGTGCGCGGCAGATGCAAACATGGCAGTGTGATCGGTGGATGCTAACACACACTAACTACATTACTGCGACATTAAAACCGCATTTTGCACACTTTGTGGCATGGCTTTTTGAATTTTAGGTAGCGTTTATTTTTAGGTAAAAAAAGACCTGTACCAAAGTTAACTCGGATGGTGAGCCTATTAAATTATTGTGAAAAGAAGAAGGACAAGCTGGACAAACTGGTTACATTCGTGGACAGTTAGTCATAACTCGTAACATTTTGTCCTTCTTCTGTACCAAAGTTACCGAAAATAAATCTCCACCGAAATTTTCCGGTTTTTCAGGATGACATTCCCGTTTACATTCACACTTGGTTTGTACGTTGCTGCCCCGTATTCCGATGTACAGTCAATTCTGCGAATGGTGACCCTCGATCGTGCATGAGAAAGTGTACTTCGAAAAAAAAGAAGAAAAAAAGTAGTTACACTCGAATTGTCAGTATTCATGAGTTTATGGACTGTTGAACTCGGAGGGTGAACCAATTTAATTATGTATTAAAGAAAGAGAAAGACAAAATGTAACGCGTTATGACTAACTGTCCACCAGCGTAACCAGATCATATGCAGTCAGCGAGTGCGACAAAATGGCACCAAACTGACAAGGCGTACTGAGACATTCAACGATCTGACACCTATGGACTGTGTTTGCATTTCGGCGTTCTTTCCTCGGTCTACTTTCAGACGTGCATTCCGTTCGCTGTCGTCGGCTCCAACACGCTACTTGAGGTGGGCAAGAAGAGAGTGCGTGGCCGCCTCCATCCATGGGGTGTAGTGGAAGGTGAGATGCTGTCTGTGCTATGTCTACAAGTAGTAATATTATGACCCATTCATTGCCATTCATTCATAGTTGGCATACGTAAGAATCAATATCTATGAAAAGTATGAATGCCGCAGACGTCACCACGCAACATGACAACTTATTCAAGGTTCGAAACTGTATGTATCCAGAATTGATTTTCAAGCTCCGATCGTCAGTGGAAATACGGAACTAATAATACTCTGCTGGGATGACGACTACACCATAGCTCAGTGGTTAGAGCATCGCTGGCTACAAGCGAAGGTCCCTGGTTCGAGTCCTGGCGGTGACAGTCAATTTTTTCTTCAGACTTTTCCCGTTTGTCTCTTTCCCTCAAACCAGTTAATAATAATACAATCATGGTCTTTTTCCCTTAACTGATACTTCAATGTGAGGCACAACAGCTTGCAATGGTGCGTTAGTGGGCAGTATGTACTGGAATATTATGTGTGCTCTTGGGATGATCTGTTTTTGAGGCTTTTATTAAAATCCCTGTCACAAGTTGGCGATTTGTTCGAATGGTGTCGACTCAATGTTGACTTCTTCTTGACTTGCTGTTTGGCTGTTGTTGTTGTTTTTGAATTCTTTATTCTCACGATGGCACCATCGCCAATAAGAGATTGTTGTTGTTGTTGTTGTTTTTGTTGTTGTTGTTGTTGTTGTTGTTGTTTTTGTTTTTGTTGTTGTTGCCGTTGTCGTTGTCGTCGTTGTCGTTGTCATCATCACCCTGGGTGTGATACAGTGGAGAATGTGGAGCATTGTGACTTCTCACAGCTACGTAACGTTCTAATCAGGTAGGTTACCATGGTTACTGGTGTGCTGCTGCCGTGCTGCTGTGTTGCCGTGCTATCGTGCTGCTGCTCTCGTACACTGAGAAACGATCACTTGTTTGATGTTTAAAACTGTTTGCTGGTGCACTGAAGTATGGTGTGGATCTCCCGGGATGAATACCTCCCGAAAAAGACTTAGACCAGGGTATTGAAATCAAGGATATCACTGCATCCGTCATCCTCTAATAGTTCTACTGGGTATTAATTGCAGTTTATGATTGTTGTCTTCGAGTCACATATTTAAAACCTACTTCAGCGAAGTACACGCAATTTAGGATGATGGCATCCCGGTGACGAAAGCGGAAAGGTTGTTCTTGATCTACCCGATATCTGGATGCTTAACTTTTTTTTATGACCCTGAGAATTATGGAATTTGGTGAGTCGAGGTCAAATTCAGTCTGCGTACATCTTTTCCGTACATAAAGGGTTAATATACTTCATGCAACTCAAGTATTCACTGTGTGTTGAGCTGCAGTATGGTTGCAACAGTAAGCTGATGTTGAGATGGTAGCCGTACACTGAGTACTAGTGCTGGCTGTCAGCATCACCCTGTTACTGAATTGTTACTACTACTACTACTAGCTTAATTAACCACCCCTGCATCCAACCCTTGGCATGCTACAACCGACAACCGTTGCAAACTTGGGTGAGAGAATACATACAGTAGATTCAGTATAAAATTGGAAAGAAGATCATCGAAAGAATGAAAAAGGCAGCTGCATCAGCATGCAGCTGCGCATCAAAATCAAATGTAAAGATGGCGACCATGAACGACTGCGACGTGGATAAACTGCAAAACAAACTAGTGCAGCGACACTGACTCGAATGAGTAAAGAAGCGGAGAAGACGAAACGGCAAGGAAAGCGGATCGCTACGATCGCTCAAAATGCAAATGCACTAGCCTAGAGCGTGCATAGCGCATGCAGTCAAACGGTCACGTGATAAGTGCGTACACAAGTCATACGTCATAATAATGCAGTTGACAAAGAAAAGGAAACAAAGCTGAGCGCGAGGCAAACAAATCTGCAGAGCGCGAAAATATAAACACATTGAACGAAGGATTTGTTTGAGAACAAAATGCACAGGCAGACAAAGAAGAAACAGTTCGAAGCTAGAATCAATGTCCGTGTTTCTTAGAATCAATCATGGAGAAAGCTAACTAAGAGTAACTACCTCTGTCACGCAAGACCGGACCTAAACACCTACAAAGTAAGAATTGATGTGTTACGAGAAATAAATTGGTATGCATTGCATCGTGACACAACTTGCCAGGCTGCATGTACGTGATTGTAAATGTACAAACAACATGCAACGTCGTAGTAAGCACAATCGTAATTCGTGAATTCCGTGTTGTTGACTCAAGGCAAGCAGTACCTCGTGTACACGTTGACAACGACGAACGAATTGATTAGACTCTGATAATAAATACTAATAATATGAAAGAACAACAAAACGTAAATGTCACCTACGATTACACAACAACCCTTTGTTGTATAAACTAAACTTTAGCCCGATTTATACATCGTCTCGAGTACAGGAGCGCTTTGCGCGACGGTCATGCGCGATGGGCCAAGCAAGTTGAGCTCAGGTTAACTTAACTGACGCTGTTACTTTTCGCATCACCTATAAATAACAGAATACCGGGCTTGTGGGTTCAAGTACGGTTTGTTCCAGAATTCTGCTGCTGGCCTCAAGCCGCGAAGGTCCCTGGTTTGGTTCCTAGTGGAGACAGTCAATTTTTTCTTCAGACTTTCCCTTTTCCATTCTCTCACTGACTTATGCCTGTTCCAGAATTGCAAGGTAGTATCATCGTGCATCAACGTGTTGTTCTGTTTGTCGTGCCTACCTCCTCCGTGTTCAGAACACACATGCAGGATCTGAAGGACGTGACGGTGAACGTGCACTACGAGAACTACCGCTCAGGACGCCTGTCAAAGACTGGCGGAACGTAAGGACATGAACTGTAAAACCGGGAATTTTCGCTGGTGTAATATTTTCGGTATTTCCCGAAATCAACGGTTCGGTAGCGCGAAAATTCGGTAAACCAGTTTTCCAGATCCAAAAATGCATTTCACACTGTATGGCGTGGCATGGTTGAATTTTAGGTCGCATTTTGTTCTACTTCGAGTAGGTGAAAATTACCTGTACCGAAGTTACTGAAAATAAATCTCCACCGAAATTTTCCGGTTTTACAGTATTGGTGAAAGTGTCAACTTGGTTTGCCCGGTGTTGATGGTAATGGTGATAGGTTCTCTCTCTTTTTTTTCTCTACCTGATGGTACCACACGACGACGCTTACAGACACCAGTACGAACAGGCCACTAGCAACACTCCACGAGATCAAAATTAATAGTTTAAAAAAACCTGACAAGCTTGTTTCTTTCCATACAAAGATACAGGGAACTCATCAGTAATAGTGATGTTGGTGGTGGCCTCTTTTCATGGCATTGAGAATGCGAATGGGGTGTTCTGTGTTCCTCAACTAGTGAAGGTTTGTTGAAGTTTTCCATTCCCCCAACGAGAGTAGGTTTGCTGAACTGCTTCTCATACCGTACTTCCCCACATAGAAGCCCATGGGCTTATGTGTGAAAATTTGCTACAAAAAAGATTTTTTGCTGGTTGAACATGTTCGGGTAGAAGCCCATGGGCTTATATGTGAAAATTTGCTACAAAAAAGATTTTTTGCTGGTTGAACATGTTCGGGTTCAGGAAGCCCATGGGCTTATATGTGAAAATTTGCTACAAAAAAGATTTTTTGCTGGTTGAACATGTACGTTCGGGTAGAAGCCCATGCGCTTATATGTGAAAATTTGCTACAAAAAAGATTTTTTGCTGGTTGAACATGTTCGGGTAGAAGCCCATGGGCTTATATGTGAAAATTTGCTACAAAAAAGATTTTTTGCTGGTTGAACATGTTCGGGTAGAAGCCCATGGGCTTATATGTGAAAATTTGCTACAAAAAAGATTTTTTGCTGGTTGAACATGTTCGGGTAGAAGCCCATGCGCTTATATGTGAAAATTTGCTACAAAAAAGATTTTTTGCTGGTTGAACATGTTCGGGTAGAAGCCCATGGGCTTATATGTGAAAATTTGCTACAAAAAAGATTTTTTGCTGGTTGAACATGTTCGGGTAGAAGCCCATGGGCTTATATGTGAAAATTTGCTACAAAAAAGATTTTTTGCTGGTTGAACATGTACGTTCGGGTAGAAGCCCATGCGCTTATATGTGAAAATTTGCTACAAAAAAGATTTTTTGCTGGTTGAACATGTTCGGGTTGAAGCCCATGGGCTTATATGTGAAAATTTGCTACAAAAAAGATTTTTTGCTGGTTGAACATGTTCGGGTTGAAGCCCATATATATGTGAAAATTTGCTACAAAAAAGATTTTTTGCTGGTTGAACATGTTCGGGTAGAAGCCCATGGGCTTATATGTGAAAATTTGCTACAAAAAAAGATTTTTTGCTGGTTGAACATGTTCGGGTAGAAGCCCATGGGCTTATATGTGAAAATTTGCTACAAAAAAGATTTTTTGCTGGTTGAACATGTTCGGGTAGAAGCCCATGGGCTTATATGTGAAAATTTGCTACAAAAAAGATTTTTTGCTGGTTGAACATGTTCGGGTAGAAGCCCATGCGCTTATATGTGAAAATTTGCTACAAAAAAGATTTTTTGCTGGTTGAACATGTTCGGGTAGAAGCCCATGGGCTTATATGTGAAAATTTGCTGCAAAAAAGATTTTTTGCTGGTTGAACATGTTCGGGTAGAAGCCCATGGGCTTATATGTGAAAATTTGCTGCAAAAAAGATTTTTTGCTGGTTGAACATGTTCGGGTAGAAGCCCATGGGCTTATATGTGAAAATTTGCTGCAAAAAAGATTTTTTGCTGGTTGAACATGTTCGGGTTGAAGCCCATGCGCTTATATGTGCAATAAGGTTTGTCTGTGTCCTAAACAACAGTGTTATCACAATGCTTAGCAGTATATTCAGCTCCCGGATGCTTCACCAATAGTGTTCACATATAAGCCCATGCGCTTATAATTGGGGGGTGCGCTTATGTCCGGACATAAGCACATGCGCTTATATGTGCGGAACAGGGAGTCGTACTCAAACTAGGGAGGTGACACGGCACAGAAATCCGTGTCACAGGGGTTGACTCGCACCCGTGACCCCTCGTTGTTATTTTTGGAATAGTTCAGTCCAGTCCAGTCCGAAAGGTCATCCTCGGATCGACTCGCCTTCTGTACTTCACCTCCAAGCGTGCAACGCAAGACCCGCAAAGTATGATTTTTCTGTGGGGAACGATTTTGCCATTGATCAAGTTTTTATAGGAGTGCTCAAGCATACTACGATTGCTGAGACGTCCCGAGCACGCTTGTTCAGGTTCTCTATTTTTGACGAGCCGGTCCTACAGCCCCCTACATTGTATCTAACGACGTAGGAGCTGACAATGTAAGAGGATTTCCCTGGAAATAATGATGATGGTGGTGTGACTGCTGCAGGAAAAATGCTGGCTGTTTATGACAGTATGACTAGATGTACAATGTAGCTCTCTTGTATGGCATGTGTTGTTTAGGAAGACTGGTGTATTGTGCAAGTCGTAAAGAAGAAATGGGGCAGATACACGACTTACAATTTTCAAAAACCAGCTTCGTGTTATGTCTAATTTGTGTCAAAATTGTAATATTTAGACATGACAATATCATTGGCTGTACTTCTCTGAGTTCTCATAACCCCTGCTATAAATGTGTTATTTAGGCAGACTGGACCATTGTGCAAGTCATAAAGAAGAAATGGGGCAGATATACGACTTACATTTTTCAAAACCTGGCTTCGTGTTATGTGTAATTTGTGTCAAAATTGTAGTATTTCAACATGACAATATCACTGGCTGTACTTCTCTTATATGGTACTTAACCCCTGCTAGAAATGTGTTGTTTAGGAAGACTGGTGTATTGTGCAAGTCATAAAGAAGAAATTGGGCAGATACACGACTTACAATTTTCAAAAACCAGCTTCGTGTTATGTGTAATTCGGGCCAATTTTTAGTATTCGGATTAACCTAGGATACGACTCTGAACAGTTCTGAACAGTTACCGTAACACTACACGCTGTCTCATAACTGCTGCTGTTGCCATCACTGCTATCAAGTAGTTCGGACATGGCAGGAGGTAAACAAATTGCTGGTAGTCTTTCAAAGAATACTGGCGAGTGATGGGCTGTAAACGAAATGTGCTGCCTCAATAATTTCAAAAACTAGACACCCATGCTGCACGCTTGGAGGTGAAGTACAGAAGGCGAGTCGATCCGAGTATGACCTTTCGGACTGGACTGGACTGGACTGAACTATTCCAAAAATAGCAACGAGGGGTCACGGGTGCGAGTCAACCCCTGTGACACGGATTTCTGTGCCGTGTCACCTCCCTAGTTTGAGTACGACTCCCTGGTGCGGAAGCACGGTATGAACAGCTGCTCTCTTTGATTTGATTCTTTCTCTTGGTAGTATTCTGAGTACGGCGGACATGAGCCCCGCTGCCCCGTCTCGTCTCTCTGAGGCCGATCGCATGCTGGCTGCCAAGGAGAGAGAGGTAAGCAGCACACGCCGGCGGTGTGGCATTCTTGTGTTTCATCAGTGTGTGTGTGTGTGTGTGTGTGTGTGTGTGTGTGTGTGTGTGTGTGTGTGTGTGCAGGCCAGCTAGTTCTGTTGGTGGGTGCACTAAAGCCAGATAGCAGTTGCATGCGTCTACTGCTATGCCGCACTCATAGCTATTATTTTATTACCATCACTGTACGGGGCAGGGGTGAATGCAGTTGGATCCCGGGACGTATACCTTGATGCCGTCAATCCTTTCTCTGCAGCTTATGCTCACCCACTTACCGGTACGGTGTTCTGTAGACCCTCATAGTGGGATTATTGCCTAGTCGACCCAGAATTTGGGATTTTCAGGGACGTCAGCCGTTGAGCGGTTCAATTACCAATTGCACGAGTCATCTTGCCCAGAAGTTCCTTTTGAGTTTCTCTGCCCTCTACCGGGAAGACTCGCATGACCAATAACGATGTGTGTGTGTGTGTGTGTGTGTGTGTGTGTGTGTGTGTGGTGTGTTCTTTCTACTGCTGCTGTTGTTCGTGCCCCCGTCGATGCTGTCACTCTTACGACCCCGAGTAGCTGGATGAGATGCGTAAAATGATGGAAATGATGAAGACGCAGATGATGGAGAAGAAGAGCACGGACGGACAGAGCGTCTAGCCTCGCTCCTCGGAGAGAGGTCTTGCTCTCCTCGCAAATCCGATCCCTATCACATTCTATTCTACACGAATGTGTACTCCCCCACCCTTCACGCAACACACACACACACACAATTGCGCATACCCAGGATTGAGCTGGGATCTAGGAAGAATTATTTTTCATATTTCCACATTTCGCCCACCTGTAACGTGGGTTGACTGAGTCCTTGCACCGCCGCTGCGAGCAGATTCGCTGGTTTAGCGAAACGTCCCCGGGAAGATTTCGGCCAACCCTGCACATGCATTGATGAACATGCATGTCTTGTCTTGGCCCGGCGAACAGACACCGGCATCTGTGCAGACCCCCCAGCTTACAACTGTGAGTGCGTGTCATGTCTGTGGAGAACTAGAATGCTTCTACAGTATTCCCCTTTCCCAAACTAACTTGTTTGATTGCACCTCCTAATAATAATAATTATAATCACTGTAGTCGGTTTCGTTTCAATTCAATTCCGGCAAACAGAGGTCAACTCTAGGTTTCCCTGCTCAATGCAGCCATGCATGCACGTATACATGCTAATACTATCTATAAGAGATTCTAGCTAGGAATGCATGTGCATTTACATGTGCATTTACATGTGCATTTACATGTGCATTTGAAGCAGACAGTAACACAATACTACTCCCTGATTTGCAGTAGAATTTCAAGTAAACCTAGCTGGAAAATTGTAATACACCTACCATACGATAAGAATTCAGCCATGAGAAATTTCCAATTCCAAAATAAATACTAGTAGACGTGAAATAAACGTATGCAAAGAGAAAGCTGGCATTCACACGGTGTTGGTGTACATGTATACGAGAGAGAGAGAGAGAGAGAGAGAGAGAGAGAGAGAGAGAGAGAGAGAGAGAGAGAGAGAGAGAGTCGTACAAGGCATGACAACAAGAGCAACACGCCATAGAAAGCTGTCAAGTTGTCCTGCACCAAACGGGCACAGTTCAGCATGTGAGTGGCTCGCAATTGAAGAAGCGACGCGCGCAGCAAGCCTACAGAGCACTACGTGCAAAAGAACTAAAGTCGAAAGAAGCAGTATAGTACGCCTGGAAATAGAATTAGAAGCATCCGAAGCAACACACATGCATGATCTGCAGCAGCATGAGTGGTAGCGACTTGGACGTGCAAAACCATGATAGCAGGAAGACAGGTTAGTGCTTATGCTCATTGACCGGCTAGACGGAGCTGCCACAGTTCAACACATCCGACCTGCGGAGGAAAGTCGGAGCCATCAAACAAGTCCAGCTTGTACCCACACATACGGGGGTGAAATCTGCAGTACAGTCCCAGCCCTTCTATACTCTGATAGCACCATTCAATCAATGCTGGGACGGAAGATAACATTAACATGGTGCAGAGACATGATGTGCTGGCTACAAACTAATCTTACACACAACTAGTATTTTAATTAAAATTACAGTGCACAGCACTCACACTTCAAGTAACTAAGTAGGGACAAGCTCATTCAACACCACACGGGGCATCGCTGCTCCGCCAAATACCTATGGGGTTGAATAGCGTGGAACACCTACTCGGCTACTGTTCTGATCGATACCAGGTAATAGGTGTTTGTATAAAGAAACAAGGTTCATGAACAGGGCTTAGTTTTTGGAAACTCTCTAGGTGTAATTGGATAAGATGTCACCCTCTGTTGACTAGATCTTACAAGTACATATTGGCACGGTTCGAACGCGTCGTCTCCGCTAATCAGATGCCACAAGCATGATGAACGAAGATCCGTGAGCCGGTATCACTTCCGAATAGGAGCCGGTGAACACGCCGAGGCTGCGGCCCGTCCACACGTCGTACACGTGCAGCGATGATGACGTCACAGGCGATAGGTCGGAGAACCTCAGGGTCACGTTGCGCGAAGACGCGAGCACACGGCTGAACAGGACGGCAGCCCAACGCTCCTTCTTGCTGTTTGGATCCGGTGACAGCGGAGCGGCCCACGCCTGCAAGTCCTCGTGCACGTCAACGTCCAGACACAGCGGGTGCGCCGCATAGTCGGCAAACTTGGACCGGAAGCGGACGCCCTCGTCGAACGCAAACTGCTGAAGCGGCAGCTTGTGCGAGTGCGTGCACGGTGCCAGGATCAGCTTGTACTTGGGTATGGTTGGCTTGTCTATGGTCAAGCATAGCTCGCTCACCAGGTGCCTCAACTGCATAGTGTCCTGGTCGTACGACCACAGCTGGTTCGCGTCGCTGTAGTTGCACGCGCCGGTGACCGGCTGTGTCGGCGTGGGGAATTCCCCCGCCTTTGCACCGTGGCCCGACAGGCAGGTGTCGAGCGCCGCGTTGCGTACACGGACGCAGTCGGTACCACGTGGTGCGCCGCTCGTCGCCGTGGGTTCCAGGCTCCATGTTTGGCTGCTGCTCGTGGTCTCCTTGCTGCTGGCGGTGCAGTTGCCGAGGATGGCGATCGCCACGGTGACCCCGCTGTTGCCGGCCGAAATCCGAACACCCTGCCGTCCAAGCGCGTCCTGGTTGACGGCCAGGGCGTTGGCGTTGGATACGATGGCCAGTGTCCTTGGCGACATGTTGCCGAGGTCGTTGCCCAGGATGATGGGGGACTTGAGCAGGCACCAGAACGCCATGTGCGTGAGTTCCTCCACGTCGGTCAAATTGCCGTTGCCCACCTCCAGCATGTCCATATCATTCCAGTAGCCAGGCCCAGCGTAGGCAGCCAGGCCGTCACGATGGTTGACCTCCACCTCGCGCATCATGTCATAGAAGGTGGCCTTGATGTCGTGCGTCACGCGCCGCATGTTGCACACCTCACGCGCCGTCCCTATGGGCTGCGACTGCTTGACACTGAAGACCATCGGTCGGCCAGTGGCATTCAGAGCTTCGGACATGGCCTTGTAGCTGAGGGCAGGCAGTACAGCAACACCAAAATACACTGTACAAGTGGCAGTACAGACAGGGTGGGGGGATAGAATCGAGGAGGTTCCGGCGTGCTCTCTCAACACTGACACAGTGTACATGCATGTCTATACGTGGATTCTCTTTGTATCTCTCTCCGTCTATGTCACACCTGTAGATAGCTGAAGTGTGTGTGTGTGTGTGCGTGCGTGTGTGTGTGTGTGGTTCTGCTATTTGCAGTTGTGCAGTATTCAATGAGTCTTCCAGCTGGATGTTTCCTGGGATGGTATTGCATGGAAAGTCAAGCTCCTGCCAAGTACTCTATGTCTTTCTGTCCATCACTGCCTCTCTCTGTCTCTGTCTCTCTCTCTCTCGCTGTCTGTCTGTCTGTCTCTCTCTGTCTCTCTTCAGAAAAGCATTGTGTAACAGATGTGCCCACCTTGCCCATGTGAGGGGTTACAGACACACACTACAAGTGCTAACCTGGGTGGAGAGAGTTGGCCAGCAGGTGCCCGGCAGTCATCATCCTTCACGTAATCGACCTTCCATGCGGCGTACGTCTTGGCATCCTGCTCCTCGTGCTGGTAGCTGCCTGGTTCCTTGTCACCGCATGTACCCAGACCAAAGTCTGTGTACAGGCCAAACTTCAAACCCTGTAAACACAGCATGACAGTGCAGGGCATGCACATGCACATGTACATACTACTCAGCCTTTAATACCAGCATGGTGTTGCACATACGTTCAGTGTAGGGGATGCATACATGACTGCCAAGTAGTCCGATTTACCGAACACTATCCAAAACAACAGAGGTTCGTTCTCTGTCCGATCCGAAAACGAACATGTTTCCGACCTCGACAGCAAACCCAAAGACTGCACTGAACGTATGCGCAACACCATGCTGGAAAGGCTGAATAGAATGTACATGTGCATGTTCTCATAAATACCACACAAGGGAAATTGACCATTTATTGGGCATCTGGAGGTGCCCGATGTTGGGGGAACAACATTCTGCAGCACTTTGCACATGAACTCATAAACAGTTGGCTCCATTAACCTTACGGCAACATCTTCAATAGCAAATTTCATGACTTAGCGACTCCGGTTTCCATGATCATGTTGAAGTACGTACAAAACTGATCTCTGCCCTTCAGAAAGTACCGTAACCCTTCTTCCCATACCATGCTATGTATCTTGTCAATCATGGCTTGCCAGTTGGGAAACGTCGACGCCTTCGGCACAATGTTACCATTTCCATCTCGCTTCGGCTCAGCCCAGCAGTTGTCCAAGTTAATGTACTTGTACCCTGCTCACATACACATACACGCATACACATGCACCCACACGCACCCACACACACACATACAAACACACATGCACACACACACATGCACACACACACACATGCACACACAAAGCACAAACACACACACAAAACACAGGAAACTACATGTTACCCATGGCAACTGTTCTCCATGGCAAGATGAATTTGAAACACGAGTGATTTAAATAGGAAACAGTTCATAGAGTTGAAGTAGCCTGGATCCGAGGAGACCGGCATGCATCACTTATCAGATATTCCCGGTTGAACTTGCAGGAGCATCAGACTGCATTCCAGTGACAATATCACTGCATGTGATCATGCAGGTGCAGCCCGTCAGATCTAAAACTTCAACAAAGCGTTTCGTGTACACCGAGTCGAAAATGAAATATGCCGGCATTGGCGTCACAGGGCAGGGGGGGAGTGGTGCGACCGGGGTATGAGGGGGGGGGGGGGGGTCCATGGGGGAAAAATCGGATTTTTCGCCCAACGGGGCATGTTTTAGCACTGTACAGGTACTCGGGGCGGACCATCCTGGATGAAAAGTGGTACGACCATGGTGGTACTGGTCGTATACCGTGCGTGACGCCCCTGGTTGGTGAGAAGTACAGTATGCGTGATTCACTGATTGCTGCATAATTATGTTACTGGCAGTACTAGTGGTGAGTGTGGGTCCAGTAGTGCTAGTGACTAGACACTCGGTACATGTATTACTACTTCGAGTACAAGATATATGCACTGTACATGTGTGCAACACGTGCACAGTCATGTACATGTACATGTTATTCACGCCTCTTTTGATATCAGAAGACCTGGTTTGTACCTACCTACCTGCTTTAGCAAGGCCGGTGTCGACCATAGCTTGTGCTGCTTTCATCACCACGTCCTCGTTCAGACCGGGACAGGCGAAAAAGTTCCAACTGTTCCAGCCCAGGGGCGGTGTCATCGCAACTTCTCCATTGCAAGAGTTCGGTGCAGCACCAAGAATTGCAACAAGACACACGAGTGCAAGGAAGGAGGACATCTTCCAACGCCTTTGGAGCCTGAAGCCTCTTCACGCACTGATAAACAGACAACAATAGTGCTCGGACTTCGCAGCAACCTAATCCGAGTTTGATGGTGACAGCACAACAAAAACTGTTCGCTCAAGACTCAAGTGCAAATGACATACAATTTACAAACCATGTAATAATGATCGCGCGAAGGAATTTTCAATTTGAAAAATTTCAAATGGCAAAATTTTGCCTCATTGAATAATAATTTTATAATGATCTTCCAGGCTAGCTTGTTGTGAGAAGTGTTGCCAGAGCTTCAACTGTTTTCAAGACGGCTACAGAGCCTCGAGAGGCGGTGTGTTTTGTTAGAACTGCTGCCTACTGGGGAGGAAGGCTCAGAACGAAGCCTGCCTCTCATTTTCTTTTCGTTTGGTCCGCTGCGGCGCGTGGCAGCCGTTTTTGGATTCGTCTGTTATTGATTTTTGCTGAATTTCGAAGCTGCCATGGCTAACACTGGCAAAGGGGTAAGACTCTTACCAGTAAGAACAACTACTATTACATACTTAGGAAGTTGGCAATCCCATGCCCACTACTGTATACGTAAACGAGCCTCTCTGCTACGCCGCTATGCTTTCGTTGGGATACTATTTCCAGCAACTAGAATAAAAATAATATTATTGACGTCAATAATGAGTACTGTTGAATACTTGTATTGGTGTAGAGTGTACTTTAGGCTTAATGCTGATATTAGACTTGATGGACCAAGAGCAGGGGTACAGGGCGAACGGATAAGGGACAGGGCTGCTTCAAAATCGGAATGGTGGGTGTCCTGTCCAACCAGTGGGTTACACCGTGAGGTTTTTAAAGACGTGTGTCTGTGTGCATGCGTGTATGCGCGTGTGTGTCTGCGTGTGTACATGTATGTGTGTATGTATGTCCGTGTCTGTGTCTGTGTGGGTGTCTGCATGTGTGTACATTATATGTGTCTGTGTGTACATTATATGTGCATGTGTCTGTGTGTGGGTGCATGTGTCTGTCTATCTGTCTGTCTGTCTGTCTGTGTGTGCCTGTCTTCCTGCCTGCACACATGTGTGTGTATGTGTGGCTGTGTGTGTATGTGTGTGTGTGTGTGTGTGTGTGTGTGTGTGTGTGTGTGTGTGTGTGTGTGTGTGTGTGTGTGTATGTAATTGTGTACATGTCCATCTTTTTTCATATTTTCTATGTGTGACTGCCGTTCCTGGTGGTCAGACTAAAGTGCAGGAAGCGTTGCGCTCTGCCACTGTGCAATCTCGCGTCAAGGAGGTCACCAGCATCTTCAACAGCCTATCACTTGAGGTAGGTAGCAGGCGCGTAGCCCGTATGGGGCAGGGGGGGGGGGGGGGGGGCACGTGTACCCCCCCCCCCCCTGCCCCTTAACATTTTGACCCAGGTTCAGCATGCACATAATGACCACGTGCCATCCAACACATATATGGCCGCGCACCCCCCTAAAAGTGGGACCAGCTACGCCCCTGGGTAGACACTATCATACTACATGACTGCTGGTGTTCCTGGGAGCAAATATCAGAGGCGTCAGAACCGGTGCGGCAGGTGTGGCGAGAGCTGCACCAATAATTTTACCTTGTGATTTTTGAAGGTATGGAATTAATATGGGCTCTTTAGGCCCAATTTCCCAAAACCTTTCCCAGGATACGCCCCCCTCCCCCTCCCCCTCCCACCCTCCTTCATATCCACACTAATGTAGAGTACCTTCCAATGCCTCTGAATGTCCAAAGTAAATATGTTTGCTTGGGGTGCAGGTGACTTTTGATCTTGAGGGCTAAGGAAAGTGTCCACCATTGAAT